GTTCACTGGTGTTCGCTGTGGTTCGCTAGCATTCGCGATTCGCGAACACCTGAGAATGGGAGTAGTCACACCAGAGTGAACACACACGAATCGTCTTGATTGAAACGTCATTCGCTTGTGCTCTGCCAACACTAGTTATCATCCCTGTTATCGTCACCGTGCAGTTCTAAAACAGACTAACTGTTTAATACAAAATTAATAAAAAAAAACTGTAAATTTGTTTAACAGTTTATAATCAGCCCTACTAGGATCCCATAACACTGGCATTGCTTTGTATTCTTCAATCAGCTCCAACATTTTGTCATCATTCCACACTAGTTAAACGAAATAGGAATAATTAATAATAGAAGTACTGTACAACAAAAAAAAAACCACCTTTGACCTAAACAACTTGTTGATAGCAGTAAAATGTAGGCACCGGCAAGGACCAGACTGGAGTCACTCCGATGTGGTCACAATGGGTCACACTGAAGCGAGCACCGAACTCGAGTGAACGCGAATTTCCTTTGATCATTCGCGATGAAACCGACAATGGATGGATCAGGTGCGAACGCGAATATGCGACTACCGCGAGCACTGCCGAACACGGCCAATAGAACGCGAGCCTTTCATGACAGGAAAATGTCGATGTAGCAGCAGCTGAAGCCTGTAGCTATTTCAGAAAGTCTCACTCAGGCTAGTATCATCTTAACTGCACTGCAACTAGTTCCTGGAATTTCGATTCGTATCGTTTGTATGATTGAGTTCTGAGTTGAAGTTGGTGGAACAAGTCAACTTACCTATTAGGGCCTAACTTATGTTTAATTATTTTGTTGTTAACTTTATTTCACCTTCTTTATTAAATTAAGTTAGGTAGTTGTAGTCTAAGGCATAATGTCCAAGAAAATCTGCCAACTGGAGAATTCTGACCGGAAAACAAACAAATAATAGGCTATACATTTTTATATTTTGTACTCTTAAAACAGCATTTTAATCTGAAAGGAAAACATTTATTGCTTTATTAAAAACCATGAAATGTGATCGATATCCATGTTTGGGTACAATTGAAACTATATAGATGATAACGGTAGCGTAGCCCATCCAAAATACTTAAAATTTATTTTATAAAATAAAGGAGGTACCAGATAGATGATGAAGTGGTTGATTCCCGAGAGAATCTTGTAAATATTTATTGGCAAAGTATGATATCACAGGATATTAACACTGTAAACTGGAATATAGTAAAGCTAAGAAACTGCACACTCAAATTGTAGCAAATAGCAAGAAAAAGTTTTTTAATAACAAAATAGTTACCTAATTCATCAAATGTGAGTAAAGAATCCTGGAAAATAGTACATAGCCTAACAAAGGAAGTTGTAACTCATGATCACCTAACAATTAAATCCAATAACTCAGTTCAAGAAAACACTATTGTGGTAGCTAACCTGATGTTCGCGCCAAAACGGCAAGTGTATTCCCCACCCCTGGACTTCGGGGGGTGTGAGTGCCACCACAGGTCAGTAAGGCACCTGCATTAAGGGTGTTCGATCGAAATCGTGGATCGTCGTGACGGTATTTTCAATTGAATCATGAAACGCCAGCTCGAAAAAACAAGAATTAATAAGTCCTACACCAGAAAACCGTGTCGTGATATTCCGCTCGGTCAGACAAAAATCACAAATCACCACGAGTCAGTTTTTAAATGTTCCGTCCGTGTGAATCTTTAGCCAGAGTTTGAATGTGAATGTGTCGACATGTGTACGTAAGTAAATGTTTTATGTTATTTGTGTTTTAGTATTATTAGTCATGCCAATCTGCCAAATTTTTCACATGTGCATTCAATTTTTACCAGTCAGAATACATGTCTCGTCTCGACTTAATACTAATAAAACACACCCCTAATTGCTATTCGGCGAAATTTTGACAATTGCGATCATTTGATGAACGTACAATTTTCGCCCGAACGCGAATTTCCGAGCTACGAATGAAGATATTAATAAAATCGTCCTACACCAGCGACAAAACGCGACTTTAGATGTTGATTTTGCGAGCACTGAACCACGAGAGACGACGAGACGCTTTCCACACGGCACGGTTCCCAACGGTCTTCCAATACGTATCCCTCCGCGTTACATCATGGTTGGATGACTTGTCCATTGCCTGGCGCGGATTTTAAATCTTTTGATTTGAAATCGGCACAAACTAAAACATACAAATGAAAAAGAAATAGTTGAAATTGTACAAAAAGTATGTCGTAAATCTAGTTCAGGTGTGGATGGGGTTCCGTGCAAGGTACGGTTGGCTTGCGTTGATGTAATCGCACAACCATTATCTGTGATCATTAATAAGTCTTTTGACGAAGGAAAATTTCCAGACATAATCAAAACTTCAAAAATCGTTCCTATTCACAAGAAGAGTAGTAAAGAGGAGGTAAGCAATTATAGGCCAGTGGCCTTACAGTCAGTTTTTTAAAAAAATTGTGAAGTGACATATTTAAATTGATCAATACCATACTTAGAAAAAATGACATTTTAAATTCTAATCAATATGGATTCCATAAAAATAAGTCGACAATTGATGCTGTGTTCTCGCTGATTACCCATGTACATGAAAAAGTAGATTGCTCTGAAGAAGTACTTGGACTATTTTATGACATGACCAAGGCTTTTGATTGCCTAAATCACTCGATCCTAAGATTAAAACTACAAAAATTGGGTATAGTAAATGCCCCTTTAAATTGGATTACCTATGTCATTTCTTGGGAACAGATCTCAGTTAGTAGCCGTAAATAACTTCGGTGCTGATAATGTCATAAGGCAATACAGATCAAAAATTCAGAATAACATCAACACTGGAGTCTCCCAGGGCTCAAATATGGGACCTGTGCTGTATTTGCTATATGTAAATGATTTACAAGAGACAATACAAGAGGGAGCTCTTTGGCTTTTTGCGGATGATGTTTGCCATCTAGTTAATAATAAAAGCTCTGAGGAAACAATACGCAAGTCCCAGATAGGCGTTCATCAGATGGGAGAATGGTGCAACGACAACAAATTAGTACTAAATGAAAACAAAACATCAGTTTTAAATTTTTTCAACACAAAGGCACCTGACCGCGCAGCCCTCTCTTAAAGTTAAAAAATCAAAACTTAAAAATAAATGATACGTAAACTATCTTGGAATCAAAATAAGCAAATACTTACTTGAAATACTTGTCTTCTACATCTTTGACTGACATGTCGGATAGATTGCGTCATGTTACTATTTACATAAAAACACTAAAAAAATCTACATATACTTTTAACTTCTACTTTTGTGGCGGACGTGTCACGTTAAAAAAGGGGTTCACTTTCCAACTCATGCAAGGCGTACAATGGCCTATATTTAGCAGTCTATCACGAATCGCCCTCTTAAAGTCTGGCAGGTCCATGTCACGCACTCGCTTAGGCAAAGGTGTTGAAGACCCTAATTGCCGAACGCGGGTAACTCCTCATTGTCTGTGCAAGTCGGCACCGAGGCATGTCAAGATCTGGGGCTCTGCGGGTATTGTGAGTGTGGACCTCCTCTCTCCTGCCAAAGAGTCCCACCTTGTCTTTGAGTAGTACAAGGATTTCGAGGATATACTGGCTGAATACAGTGAGCACCCTATGCCGGATGAATATAGGGCGGCAGTGCTGCTTGTAGCCAGCAGATGACACTATCCTCATGGCTTTCTTCTGGAGCAGTAGGATGTCATGGGCTGATGTAGAATGGCCCCATCATAGGACAAGGCCGTACGACACATGGCTGTGGAAGAGGGCGTGATAGACCATCAGCAGAGAGGGTTGACTTAAAGTAGGACGAAGTCTTCTTAGTAGGTAAGTAACTCTAGATAGTCTAACACATACCTTGTCTATGTGATGCTATAAGCATCACCTTAGCAATAACCTTAGATGGAATATACATATTGATCATATAACCTCAAGACTTGTGGTAGTATGCTGCTGTCTTATGCGCAGACTACAAAATATAGTGGATCATCATATCCTGATGAAAGTTTATTATGGCTGCTTTCATAGCGTATTGAGCTATGGCATCGTACTTTGGGGGAACAGCAGTGAAGCAAACAGAGTCTTTCTACTACAAAAGAGAATTATTAGAATAATATGTAAAACCCATTTTTTTAGAACATTGCAACCACTTTTTATTAATCTTAAAGTTCCCACCCTTACCTCCGTTTATATATTGGAATCAGCTATGATGATATGGAAATTTCCGGAAGTCTTCAAACGCAACCACGAAATACATAATTATAACACCAGGCAACAAAACCATATACACCTGAATTGTCACCGAACATCATTGGTAATAGCTGGACCACATCACTCAGCAAGTAAAATATTTAATAAATTGCCAGAAGACATAAGAAGCTGCCAAGACAAAAATTTATTCAAGAAAAAACTCAAAAATCACTTAATAGAAAAGGCCTACTACAAATTGGAAGAATTTTTGGAGGATTAAGAGAAGATAGGCCCTACCTGAAAATTAAACACCTTTGACGACCACGGCTGGGCCTACTATCATCACAAGTATACAAGTAAGTAAGAGGTGCCAAACCAGTGCCATCACTATAACCAACGCCACGCACGTCGCACGGGCCACGGAGCGTCCCTTGAGCCTTGCGGGAACTCGGCCCGTGGTGGTGTTGGTGTTCTGTAATCTGTTCGGTGTTCCTGTTTGTTGGTGTCTGGGTCTGGCTGTCTAGTAGTTAGTCACCGAGCTAAAATTGAAGTCTGTCAAGAGCGAGTCGCTGATTTTGTTAGGTTGGTATAGCAGTGAGTTTTTTTAACCAATGACATGGCTTCTATAACTAGGTCTGTATAGCAGTGAGTTTTTTCATCCAATAACATGGCTTCTTTATAACTCACAACCTCACGCAAACATGGCGGCTGGCGACACGCATCTTTGACATTCAGTGCTACCTCCAGTTAGAATTATAGCTCAGTGTAGTTAGTAGTTTGTCTGCTTGCTTAGTCCTAGGTTGTTGTGTTTGTTTAGTTTTTAGATAGAGTTGTTTATTGATGTTTGTAAAATTAACTGTTAAACCCTTTACCCTTAAGTTAAGTATTGTAGATTGCCCGAATAGTTTTAAAATTCTCCTGAAATGTCATCACGAGGTGTCAAGAAGCGTCAAAAGCCAATGTCCAAGTCTCAAAGAGCCAATGTAACTTTTCCTGTAGGCAGAATGAAGAGATTTCTCAAGATGGGAACTCACCGGCTTCGTATTGGGATCGGTTCTCCGGTGTATATGGCTGCTGTAATCGAATATCTGACAGGTTTGAAATGTGTATTGTGTTACTAGGCATATAGGTAGTTTAACTTAGGCTATTAAGGTAACACAGAAGGATGTAATAGGTCCTTTAAAGAGTAGGCCTAGGCCTATTTTACATCAAACCTATCCTAGGCCTACTTTGAAATGTCAATAAATTTTAGTTAAACCAAGGCCTACTTTGGGAAAACCATTTGGTGGCATACGTGGTTATTTAGGGGATCTTTACATTTATAGTAGCCCTAATCTAACTGTTTGCATAAAACGCTCTTTCCAATGATACAAAAAAACATGCCCATCGGTTCAGTAGTTTTGGAGGAGTAATTGTCACAAAAAACCTGCTTGCGTATTAAATAAGTAGATACGAAAGTTAACCAAACAAAAGAAAAAAAACACTAAACTTACAATGGAATGTTGATATACATTGTAAATTACATGATATGGCAAAGTAACGGGTAACTGCACTGTAAACAATCACTTTCAAACATAAGTTATATAACGATTACACCGAACTGTAACCAAAACAACACGATAATTCAGTAAAATACAATGTATGGTAAATACATTCAAATATTACAAACAATTTGTTGTAAAGCCTTGCTAGGAAACTAATAATTTATGAACCAGACTTATTTTACAGATGATTAAATAAAAATATAAATTCCGGCTTTGCTTTGGAAGTAACAAGCCCTGCAGTCTGTGGTTAACCTTAGAAACTATTTCGAAATACGTCCATACGGTATGTTTAGTTGGAAACAATCTAATGTCAACAGATAGCGCCACCATTCCACTTGTGTGAACCTGGCAATAACTTGGCAATAAGTAGTGCGCGCGCCACAAAAAATCTATTGCTGGCCGTTTTGCGGCAAAATACGTCCGCGATGCATATTACCGATGATGCCAACAGATAGAGGACACTTTAACGGACACGACAGTATCAACATTATGTACCTGGGGAGTAGTATAAGGGGGGTAAAATCGGCAAAAAGTAGTGCGCGCGCTACAAAAAATGTATTGCTGGCCGTATTGCGGCAAAATACGTCCGCGATGCGTATTACCGATGATGCCAACAGATAGAGGACACTTTAACGGACACGACAGTATCAACATAATGTACCTGGGGAGTAGTATAAGGGGGGTAAAATCGGCAAAAAGTAGTGCGCGCGCTACAAAAAATCTATTGCTGGCCGTATTGCGGCAAAATACGTCCGCGATGCATATTACCGATTATGCCAACAGATAGAGGACACTTTAACGGACACGACAGTATCAACATTATGTACCTGGGGAGTAGGATAAGGAGGGTAAAATCGGCAAAAAGTATTGCGCGCGCTACAAAAAATCTATTGCTGGCCGTATTGCGGCAAAATACGTCCGCTATGCATATTACCGATGATGCCAACATATAGAGGACACTTTAACGGACACGACAGTATCAACATTATGTACCTGGGGAGTAGTATAAGGGGGGTAAAATCGGCAAAAAGTAGTGCGCGCGCTACAAAAAATCTATTGCTGGCCGTATTACGGCAATATACGTCCGCGATGCATATTACCGATGATGCCAACAGATAGAGGACACTTTAACGGACACGACAGTATCAACATCATGTACCTGGGGAGTAGGTTAAGGGGGGTAAAATGAGCAATAAGTAGTGCGCGCACCACCAAAAATCTATTGCTGGCCGTATTACGGCAAAATACGTCCGCGATGCATATTACCGATTATGCCAACAGATAGAGGACACTTTAACGGACACGACAGTATCAACATTATGTACCTGGGGAGTAGTATAAGGGGGGTAAAATCGGCAAAAAGTAGAGCGCGCGCTACAAAAAATCTATTGCTGGCCGCTTTGCGGCAAAATACGTCCGCGATGCGTATTACCGATGATGCCAACAGATAGAGGACACTTTAACGGACACGATCAGTATCAACATTATGTACCTGGGGAGTAGTATAAGGGGGGTAAAATCGGCAAAAAGTAGTGCGCGCGCTACAAAAAATCTATTGCTGGCCGTATTGCGGCAAAATACGTCCGCGATGCATATTACCGATGATGCCAACAGATAGAGGACACTTTAACGGACACGACAGTATCAACATTATGTACCTGGGGAGTAGGATAAGGGGGGTAAAATCGGCAAAAAGTAGTGCGCGCGCTACAAAACATGTATTGCTGGCCGTATTGCGGCAAAATACGTCCGCGATGCGTATTACCGATGATGCCAACAGATAGAGGACACTTTAACGGACACGACAGTATCAACATTATGTACCTGGGGAGTAGGATAAGGGGGGTAAAATCGGCAAAAAGTAGTGCGCGCGCTACAAAAAATGTATTGCTGGCCGCTTTGCGGAAAAATACGTCCGCGATGCGTATTACCGATGATGCCAACAGATAGAGGACACTTTAACGGACACGACAGTATCAACATTATGTACCTGGGGAGTAGTATAAGGGGGGTAAAATCGGCAAAAAGTAGTGCGCGCGCTACAAAAAATCTATTGCTGGCCGCTTTGCGGCAAAATACGTCCGCGATGCATATTACCGATTATGCCAACAGATAGAGGACACTTTAACGGACACGACAGTATCAACATTATGTACCTGGGGAGTAGGATAAGGAGGGTAAAATCGGCAAAAAGTATTGCGCGCGCTACAAAAAATCTATTGCTGGCCGTATTGCGGCAAAATACGTCCGCTATGCATATTACCGATGATGCCAACAGATAGAGGACACTTTAACGGACACGACAGTATCAACATTATGTACCTGGGGAGTAGTATAAGGGGGGTAAAATCGGCAAAAAGTAGTGCGCGCGCTACAAAAAATCTATTGCTGGCCGTATTGCGGCAAAATACGTCCGCGATGCATATTAACGATGATGCCAACAGATAGAGGACACTTTAACGGACACGACAGTATCAACATTATGTACCTGGGGAGTAGTATAAGGGGGGTAAAATCGGCAAAAAGTAGTGTGCGCGCTACAAAAAATCTATTGCTGGCCGTATTGCGGCAAAATACGTCCGCGATGCATATTACCGATTATGCCAACAGATAGAGGACACTTTAACGGACACGACACTGTTGATACTGTCGTGTCCGTTAAAGTGTCCTCTATCTGTTGGCATAATCGGTAATATGCATCGCGGACGTATTTTGCCGCAATACGGCCAGCAATAGATTTTTTGTAGCGCGCGCACTACTTTTTGCCGATTTTACCCCCCTTATACTACTCCCCAGGTACATAATGTTGATACTGTCGTGTCCGTTAAAGTGTCCTCTATCTGTTGGCATAATCGGTAATATGCATCGCGGACGTATTTTGCCGTAATACGGCCAGCAATAGATTTTTTCGGGCGCGCGCACTACTTATGGCTGGAGTTATTGCCAGGTTCACACCAATCACCATTCCCAAATGCCCTTTTTAGCAAATTTCCCATATAGGGAATAGGCCTAAGTTATTAGGTACCGTAGTATACTCATGGTAAGACCTGGACCCGGGACCGATTTACTTTTTCGTTTTGAGGTCCCTAGAGACCAAAAACACCATCCGTTCAAATTTATATATATATATATATAACTTATGTGTGTCCGTTAGCACGATAACTTGAGCAAAAATGATCCGATTTTGATAAAATTTGGTATAAACGTGTAAACCTACATTTATTTGAACGAGTTCCCTAACCAGCATGATCGGACTATGGGAACGGGGGTTTATGGGGGGTTTTATGGGGTAAAAATAGGTTTTTCCCATTTTTGACCCTAAAATCACAAAATTTCACAATTTCTTTCCAAACCATTTTGTAGAGCTTAAAAAACAAATAATTTAGTATATTGAAGCATTATTGTGCGCCTAATGGTTACGGAGAAAATTCCAAAAAACTAAATTTAAAATTCCCATGTTATTCTTATGGAGAATAAGTCAAATGTTGTAGTTTGCTTGTTTATGAACATATTTTGATAGAATATGTAAAATACATTTATTTCTTACTAAACTATGAACATTTTACAACAAAAAACACCTTTTTACCCTCCCTGTTGCAGCAAACCTAAGTAGCCTACTCGTTAAACTAATTCTAAGTTATTTAAATAGGGAATAAATGTGAAATTTTTCAGGAGGCATTTTAGTGTAAATCCAATCAGGCAAATGGAAATTCGCTTAGTCTGCAGGTTTGCTGCAGCGGGGGTATTTAATATTCTGAGACGTATTTGCACATCTACTTAAAAATACCTTTAATTTGACACCTCAAATGCTAAAATCTCTCAAGCCGTTAATGAGTTATGACTGTGAAAAGAAAACTGCTTAAGTGTATTAATATATAGATTATTAGTTGCTGATACATGAAATTATACACTATGGCACGTTCATTAACAGAAGTTGAGGGGTGAAATGAGGACGAACATGTCATTATTGAAGTGGCAGTGGCATAGCTTCTATTACTATTGTAGGCTATTTTATGAGAATAAATTCAATTTTAGCCAATTTCCCATATTGGGAATAAGCTATTACCGTAGTACTCATGGTAAGACCTGGACGCGGGACCGATTTTTTGTTTTGTTATGAGGCATCCCTAGAGGCCAAAAACACCATCCATTCAAATTCATATATATATATATTTACATATATACATACATTTATATATATATACATTTATATATATATAAATATATATATACATATATTTGTAAATATATATATGTAAATATATATATATGAGTCATTCTCAAATTAAGCGGAAATTCCAACATCTATAATTTAATAAAATCTTTTACTTAATTTAAACAATATTTTTATTTAAACATGATGTTTATAACATAGTTAATCTGTAAAAAACATAAAGATAGGTCAAGAAAATTAATATGGCCAAATATGTGTAAATTTACTTTTGCGTCAAACATGGAGGTGACACCTCTCGACATGGAGGTGACAATTCTGTGAACTTTTAAGTTTGTCTAATACCTAATGAATATTTTCATTTATAATATTTGTTGATAGGAAAATACTAAATCAATTGAATGCTAATCCATTAGCTTAAATGTATATTGTTCTTTAACTTAAATAGACAAAAATTTTAATCAAATTATGAAAATATAAATTACTTAAATAAATTGTGGCTACTCAGATGTTATGATTAATTACTCAAGTTTCATCTGGTTTAAAAAATATGTTATTGTGTATTTTCATATCTGAAAGAGAACACTTGTAAGCCTAAACTGGCTGACTTTCAAAAATTAATTAGGTATTAATATTACTTTCTTCTTTAAAATGTCACCGAAGCATAATATGCAAGTAATTCTGATATCGATAAAGTTTGGCCGAGAAGGGTTGATAAAATAAATTCAACAGTAGAATTCCAGGAACTAGGTTTATTATTGACATAGCTAGACAGATGACTTTATAAGTAAATATATTCATGTGGTTTTCAGCATCTTATTAAATATTTCATCATATTTTTTTATGTTTTCAAATCCGTAGTGTCGATTTGAAACTGGGTGTGGAGGTTTGTTGATCCTGCACATTATGTGGGCTGGATTCAGCATTTGAATGTCAGGTGGTGAGGGCCAGAAGAACTTTTGCCCTGATCTGGCCATAAATGAGACTGTGATTTTTTCTCCTTTGTTCTCTACGATTCCTAAAAATAAACACAACTTGTTAGGCTATGAGCATAGTCAACGAACAATAGTATGTAGGCCTACCCTCGTCTTTCGGTCCCTTTTTATATATATTTTAGTAGCAATCACCCAAAAAAAAAAAAAAAACAAAGCTAGAGAAACTGAACAAATTGTAAAATAAAAACAAATTTAACCTAAAACTTCTGTACTTAGGTCATTTATAACATTTTACAAAAGTTGTCAAAAACTTACCTGGGTACCACTGGGTGTCATACACAACACCGACCCATGAACCCACATCCAACTCGTCATTCTCATCACTGTCTGAGGAATAAATGTCAGAATAGCGCACTCTGGTAAGCCTATGCGCTGTTTGATCTTCTTGATGTACTCCTGGATTGATTTTCATTGCTCTTGAATTCTTACCTGTTGCACTTAGTTAAGGTAAATTTTAATTAATTTCTAAGATGTGTAGCCTACTAAACAAGGATAAAACCGCTCTAGTAAATGTGTTGACAAACGAAGTGATCCTACTATTGGCACAGAGGTAAGGGATTAGGCTAACACTAGCCCAAACAGTAAACAGATTTTTGAAATAAAGGATACAAGTTTTTTGTTGTTCTAGACATTTTGGTTTGTAGGTACGCAGATGGTAGTGCTTGCAGTTGTCTTTGCTATTGCATTCAAAGCAGCTTAAGCGACGCATTTGTAGATTGTCCTTGTCCCTATTAGTCCAAAACACCTGATGGACTTTCATAGTTCCAATAAATGGTGGCACATCTTTTTCTACCAAATCATCAACTTCATTTATCTCTGCCGTAGTTACAGTACATGGAACAATTTGATGGAATCTTTAAATTTTTCCTTTAAGCAGTCAAGAAGCACTTGGAATGTCGGTATGTCAGTTCCTTCAGCCACAAGTTTGTTGGCAGTTCTTTTCAAGGTGCCTCCAATGCCATCTGGGGCCCCTTTGCCATGGCCGCACTCTGAATAGTTCCATGTGATAGAACTACAAAATTGAGAAAAATGCTTTTGAATTAATGAAAAAAGGGTTTTGTTCCTATACTGCGTTGTAGGACTATCACTAAGGAAGTGAATGGCATTGATACTTGCAATCTTTCTATGAGCTAAGAACAGAACTTTGTTTAATTGGGCGCATATGGCAGAGGCATCATGGCGTAACGATTCTGAAAGGGAACAGAATGAGAGTACTTTCAGTTCATTATTAGCTTCAGCCGTTCTAAAATACATAACGCCAGTATGCATGGTGACCTGGTCACGAGAACCGCCAAAGTGCATACTTTGAATTTCCTTACTATACTTGCATTCATAGTTCTGACTGAAGTCTACATGAATTAGTATTTCATCTGGTTTCAGGGTTTGTTTGAGTTTCAATATTGATCTATACTGATGTACAATATTGCATATATGCTTCATAAAACCTGGGAGCATATCATAAAATTTGTTTACAAGGTCTCTAATATCTATTTCTATTTTTTCTTTGACAACTTTTTTTGTTGATTTTTCTATCCCTTTCACTGTAAACTTTACTTCTTTCTTACTCCACTGGTCAACAAAAGTTTTATCATTTTCAAAGTCTTGGATTTGAAAGTTGTTGTCGCAACATTTTGAACAAGTTCTTTCCCAACACTCTTCTTTGGTAAGAGTATCATCAAGGCAGCATAGAGACTTAAGTAAGCTATCTAAATCACTAAATCCTTTAATAACTTTAAGTCTTTTTAGTTTCTCAAATACCAGGTTCATATTTTCATGCTTTTGGCATGCACATGTGTCCCTTTTTCTTACAGAAGGTTTCAATACCCAAAATGGTCTAAACGAGCAAAATGTCGAATATGGTATATTGTATCCGAATTCCACCTCAAACTTCTTATGAAGGTTGATAAGATCACCCATTAGAGTGCGCTTTTGCTTTTTCACTTTATTCTTTGTGATGCAATCTTTTATTCCTGGTTCAAGGCGACTAACATCATCTTGATGAAAAAACTTTATTACATCACCTTTCACTTTGATTTTGTTCTTTGTCTTATAAGTGATGGTTTGAGTTATCGTGTCAATTAGTTTGCTGTCATAGTTTATTTTTTTTAGATGTTTTTTATAAGACTGGAGTGGTAGCTTGTGCATTGATCGATATTTTTTTACAACTTTACCAGCCAATACTAAAGCAAATGCTTTTTTAGCTTTTCTTGAATGTTCATTTTTTTGTAATTTTCCTCGATTTGAGTTGTTAAAGCAACACCAAATTCAAGTGCCTTCTTTACACGAGGAGACACGTGCTCACCACGCAAAATATTTTTTACTTTTTGCTGAGGACTATTTGTGTTTTTGCTGAGTTTCTTAAGTCGCATAAATCTTTTCTTATACTTTTCTTTACTTCTCCTCATTTTGTGCGTTTCGGTCTTAGATTTATCCAATTCCTTCTTAAGCCGTTTTATTTCTCTATAGGCTTTCGATTTGTTCCGTTTTGCTACTTTTTTCCCAGACATTTCTCTGCTGCTTCCAGCTCTACCCATACAAGCCTCTCTAGGAGCTGGTTCATCCTCCTGCAGCTCTACGTCACTCATTGGAGGAGAAATTATTAAATTACCAAGTTCCTCTGCAGCTTTTCTTTTTTGTCTAGATTTTCTTGTTTTTTCTACCCATCTTTTACGCTGGGCTCTTTTTTCTCTATCGGTGAGGTCCACAATAGTTTTAATTTGACCCAATTGTTTTCTCTTGTTATACCTTTCCCGCTCTTTTCTTTTAAACTCTTCATAAAGTACTGGATCATTCTTAATCCTATCTCTTCTATTTTGTTCGCGTGCTTTTCTTTTAGCTCTTGCATCTTCAAGGTTCGTCTTCTTTCTTACCATTTTAATAAACTGCAAAATAAAATTAAAGATAAGAAGATAGTTATTATCAACTATCCCTTATCCTCTGTGCCGTGAACAGATCTTTTATTCTTCATAACCAACATTAAAGGTAGCGGTTAGGCTAGACAATGGTTATTCTTAAGCACTGCTAAAGCTTAGGCCTATTCAACAAAAAATACCAAAAATATTTTTTTTAAGTTGACTAAATTTAGGAAAGCCTACTAAAAAATTGTTTACTAAGTTGCAAAATACTTTGAAAACTACCTAATTATCACCTTTTTAATATTAAAGAGAAGATAAAGCTAATTTTGTCACCTCCATGTATTCCATGTCACCTCCATGTTATACATAAAACATGGAGGTGACAGGCATGGAGGTGACAAAAGACATAACTTTACACTATGGAAGCTAACCTAAAAGTTTGGCATGCTTGATGGGTTTGGTAAGGGCATTTGTACACCAAAAACAAACAAAACAGTGCAAAATATTCTTCACATACTTAAAATTGTGATGTTTACAGATGGCATGGAGTTGACATGTCTAAAAAGAACTTTAAGCTTAAGGTCTACTAAATGATAAATAAGATAATAATAAGGTACTTACAGAGCATCATAGACAACCCAACAGTCAAAATGGCTGTCTAGCCTCCTTTCTCATCTAACAAGAAGCTAGTGCTGCACTCTGGTGGATTTATAACAAACTTTTTCCAACTTGCCATGGAGGTGACAGAAACAGTGGGGACCAAACTTAATATTTTATTTCTCGCTTATTTTTTTTCTTGTAAATATTTTGTTTTATTATGAGTTTTATGAATGCTATCTTACTGTTAGTTTGTAAAATAAATGCAATTATATACAATAGTCTATGTGTTAAAGATGTCTAATAGTTTAAAAACTTGGAGAGGGACAGCCATGGAGGTGACATTATTGGGTGAAACTATTTTTTTAAATCACAAATTTTAATCAAATCTAACTTTAAAAATAATTATTTGTTAACAACATAATTTATAATACTTATAACAAATTAATAAGATATAAAATTTTTTTTAATTGTAAAAAATCACTGGGGACTCCAATTTCCACTTAATTTGAGAACGACTCATATATTGATATATATATTTGTCCGTTAGCGCGATAACTCGAGCAAAAATGATCCGATTTTGATGAAATTTGGTAAAAACGTGTAAACCTGCATTTATTCAAACGAGTTCGCGATCCAGTATAGTCGGACCATGGGAACAGGGATTTATGGGGGGTTTTATGGGGTAAAAATAGGTTTTTCCCATTTTTGACCCTAAAAACAAAAAAATTGCAATATCTTTCTAAACCGTTTTGTAGAGCTTAAAAAATAAATAGGCTAATTTAGTATATTGAAGCGCTGTTGTATGCCTAACTGTCACGGAAAAAATTCAAAAATAGTGCAATTTAAAATTCCCATGTTATTCTTATGGAGAAAATGAAAATTGTTGTATTTTACTTGTTTATGGATATACTAGCTGTACCCGCGGGCTATGCCCCATTTAACTTCATAAGTGAGCTCGTTCGCATGGCTCAATCACGTCCTGGTTGAAGTTCGTTCGCTACGCTCACTCACCTTTTGGTTGCAAATTAGCTGTTGTCATAAATGTAAAATAAATAATATTGCTGCACCCTGTTGGTAATCCTTGTAACTTTAATGCTATTGAACATCATAGAACAGAACCAACATGTTTAATTGAAACAGCTGTTAAGATTTATTAATTCCATTTAAATATGAGAACTCATAAGGTTAACATGGGAAACTCCAGAGCCACTGGGGCGGAGCCAGAGAGTCCGATCAGAATAAAAACAGCTTAGTTTTCCTATTTCAGCCATTCTTTTGTAACGGACGTGACAAGTAGATGATTTTAAAGTGGAGTAAAAGTAGGAAAAATTAATTACAGTGAATAATTTCTATGCTAAGTCAATAGTAATTTAGGGTTTTTAATTTCATAGAATATTGTATGTATTACGATTAAGTAATGTAAATATTATGCAACTTTAACTGGCTGTAACGGACGTGACAATTAAGTCACCTGCCTTCTGAGATGTGGCACGTCTTGTTAAAAATTCTGTTAAGTATTTACATTTAGGATATTGGAAAAATCAAATTTAATTACTTATTATAATATCTATATAGCCATAACAACTAGCTTTTATTATTTGATTTCAGTTAAGAGAAAATAATTTTAATTTGCTGTAACGGACGTGACATGGTTTTGTAACGGACGTGACAAGTATGGTGATAGGTAGGAGAAATATCGTAGTTTGAGGAAATACACTTTATTTATGCACTGTAATTATAATAATATTATGTTAGTACATAAACAGATTACTTGTTATATAGGATAAATTAATAAGAAATAATTAAATACTAGCCTATTGCTGGAACACAATCATAATATGGCAGATGGTAAACTTCCATAAACATTTCCGCATCTAAGAAAAACACACTTTTGTTAGGGGGGTTTTAAATTATAACACAGGAATTGAACTGTTCTCTTTTGTGCTATGTTATATGCTCTACTTCCAGTTATTCTAAGATGTTTATTTCATCTTCAAATTCATACAGGACTCGATCACCTACTGGTTTGAGCACAGGATCTTTTAGTAGTTCGAGGATGTCTGAAACGGAGACCAGTCTTTCATCACCTTCATTAATTTTAAACACTTTATGACTTTTGTTGTATGACTTTAAGAATGAAACCTCAACATCCTTATTTTCTTTAACACAACTCTGACAGACCGCTACATACCTAAACTCTTTTCCCTTTTCACTGAAGACTTTTACCAGTACGTGTGTTCCTGGGACAATATCACATGGAGAAATATCAGTAGATGTCAGTAGATTCAAATACTCATCTTCATCTGGGTAGCGTCTATCACACATATTTTCTTCTTCAGAGTCCGTGTACACATCAGAGTACCGCAAACGCTTTGAAGGCGCAGGCTCTGTAAGGTCTTCTTCTTCTGGTTCTAGGACGATGCAAACCTTAGTCATAAGTGACTCAGATGTTTTGGCAACTAGAATATGACATTCATCATAGGCCCGGAAGTGATGAAACGATTGGATCCCGACAATTTTTTCAATGTTATCCCATCTAGCTTCAAGATTTTTGGAATGAGAACTTACTTCTTTTTCAGAAACGTACAGCACGTTAATGTTTGTACAGTTTTCCTTTGCTACTTGGTAAAATTCTTCAGCTGAGCTAACCACAGCTCTTCTTCCTTTAACCACATTCCAAACAGTTCTTTTAATTGAGCCCCCTACCCCATCAACAGCACCCTTTCCATGTCCAGAGGCAAAGAAATTCCAGTCCACCGTGATATTGAAATCTTTTTCTGAGAAACACACATTTGATACAGAATAGCGGCTTTTAAATTGGCCTGCACAATTGTCTGAAAAAATATGTACATGGTCGATTTCAGAA